GGTACTGCAGGTGGGCCGCGAGAGGTCATTTACAATAAATAAATAAAACGTTTTGAATTTTCAATTTTTAAAAGTTTGAAATTAATATAAAAATATGTATGATGCGGCACATTAGTTATGTGAAACATTAATTGATGAAGCATGAACAATTTAAACGAACAGATTGGTTAATGGGTTGATCCATACTGGTTGTACACGGCGCTCAAGGCGCTCTGTCAAACATGCCAAAGCTCGTCTACGACGGCGAGATGCTGAGCGGCGCTGAAGCGCGTGAGATATGGAGCTGCTTTCAGGGCGCGTCGGAGAAACAAAGCTGTCGTTCTCGCCGAGCACTTCATGAGATTAAAGAGCGAGAGACGGCGCCCTTTTCTCTACAGTAGCTGAACCATCTTAACGGGGAAATAAGTTATTCTAAAAGCAGCCCTTAGCAGGCGGCGTGGCTGGAGAGCAGCCGAAGATTTAAGGCGTGGATGGCGAGGGGGGCGGCGGGAGCGGACGCACCTCGCAGTATCGATCGGACCCTGAAAGCACCGTCTCCACCGGTAATGATGGTACATGATGCTTGTAGCTGCTTGTCATCTACGCTCCACTACGGTTACATAAAGGTGTCGTTTGTTTTGACAACGTTTTATCTCATAATTTAGACTTTCTATCCACCTTGCTTTAGTGCGGAAACGGGCTTCTATAGTTGGGTGAATGCGTCACTCCAGCCAATCCAAAGACGGGGTTTGTAACCAATCAGGTGTAGAGACCATGTGACTGGCTCCGCGTGTTAATTTCATCGACGAAAACTATGCTGAAATTTTTTTGTTAACAAACCTTTTTTCCCTGACTAAAACGAGACTAAGACGTGACGAAACCGATCTTAAAAAATAAAAACTAAGACTAAATCTATTCTAACTTTCATTAACGAGACGAGACGAACATGTTGGTGGTTGACAAAGTCACGATACTTTTTCCCCCTAAATCCGCACGCAGCTGACAGACAACAGACAGACAAAGTACGGCGGATATTAACGCGCCATGATGACGTCATCCACGAACCCAGGACGCTCGCAGCGGCGCAGCGGTGGTTCTTGTGCACCGACTACGGACCGCGACGACTATTTTACGCTTCGCCGAGTTTGAACGTGGCTTCGTTAGTTTAGCTCAGCTGCCTGTTAGCTGCCTGTTAGCTGCCTGTTAGCGGGCTGAAGCCGCGCTGCTTCACAGAAACATGAAGACCCGTTTAAAGACTGTCGGACCTTTCTGCTCTGTTCTCTGGCGACGGCAGCCAGCGTTTCCTCGGCTGGATGAGACGCTCCGTCACAAACGCCTCTAACGTAATAAACTCATTGCAGGTTCTGAAGCCAAGAAAATATTGTATTGCAGCGATTGTAGGACGTTAAGGTCTCTTTTGTTGGGACAGTGGAAACAATAAAGGACCATGAAGTGTCAAAAGCATTGCAAGTAAACAGACAAAGACAACAAAGTGTTGCGTTTAGGTCCCTGGTCCTCATGAAGTTGTTACACCTTTGCCAATTTGTTAAATTGCCTTGCAAATAAATGCTTTGCTATTTGTTAAAATCCAAATCCTTTCATGTAATGATGTTTCACAAGTCATTTATATCAGCTCACACAAACACTTCAACCATTTGTTCTTGGCCCGGCTCCTCCGTCACATTTTACCCATTGTGCCCACGGGTCAAAAAGTTTGCCGACCTGCTATAGACCTGTCCTATGAGGGACATCCATAGGCCTGTCCTATGAGGGACATCTATAGGCCTGTCCTATGAGGGACATCTATAGGCCTGTCCTATGAGGGACATCTATAGACCTGTCCTATGAGGGACATCTATAGACCTGTCCTAGGAGGGACATCTATAGACCTGTCCTAGGAGGGACATCTGATGGACAACCAAGTACTGCAAGCTAGACTATTATGCAGCTGTAGACACAACACGGGGGGTCCCTGGGCCTGAGGAGGGAAGAAAAGGAGTTTAATATGGCTGTTAAATGTGACTAAAACTAATTACATTTTAGTCTAGTTTTCGTCAACTAAGGATTAAAATGACTAAATGTGACTAAAACTAATATACATTTTCATCTAAAGACTAAGACTAAATCAAAAATAGCCGCCAAAATGAACACTGCGCGAGACGGACTTTTGCTGGCGGATGTTTGATTTACGCTCGCGCATCAACCTGATTTGCGCTCTGGAATTTTGACAGTGATTTGCGCTGATAGACTGCAGTATCTTATGCGCCTTATTGTGCGGAAAACACGGCACATGAGCTCCGGAGAAAAGGGTTTACAAAACATACATTGTCGGTTAATACATTTTAAATCGGTTAAATTCTTAAGGTCATTTAATCATCCCTAGTTTATATTTTGATCAGTTGTGATTAGCAATCTCACATATACACAAACTGAATATAGCTTCACAAAGCACGCCTGCATCCAGGAGCCCAGTCTACACCATGTGACTTCAGTCAGGCAAACGTCCATCGTATACAGGGTTTGACTGGGCTCGATATACTGACACTAGGGCTGCAACTAACAATTATTTTGTAATCGACTAATCTATCGACTATTTACCACAGTGCAGGAGCGTGGAAACAAACAAAGAGGCAAGTATCCTTTTGGCTACAACGTGTGACTGTTTATTTCCATCCAATAACTTTGTTCTTGAGCTTAAAAGGTTAATACAAATGTAATCATCATAATAAATACATTGAATAGTAATAAGCGGAAATGATAAGCGATTTGTAAATGTGGGAGGCGACATGTTGTAGAGTGAGCCGGAAAAATGCTGCAGCCGAGCATCCGGTCCATTAGACAACCTCAGCTCCCATTTCAACACCACAACAGAACACAATTTTTATTTTCGAAGAATGTTTTATTTTGAAAATTGACCGGCTTTTCTACTAATTATGTGCTCGTCCCTCTGACATATTCCCCAAGCGTCACAAGGCGTTTTTCTTCATGTTTACAATTGTCCTCTTACCGTGCAGGGCAGTTTCGCCCACCAGCGAACAGAGAGCGCACGACTACTACACCCCCCCTCCCCCGTCGGTCGTTCCACCCGCAACGACTACTACCCCCCGTTATTCCTCCGGACTTTCTCGAGCGGTCCGCGAAATATTGTCTGACATGGAAACGGTCCGTGAGGTAAAACAGGTTGGGGACCACTGATGTAGACAATAGAATCCATAGCGCCCTCAGCACTTCCTGTGATGTATTGCAATGCTGAATGAAAAAGACTCGTAGCTCTGAATCTTTCTATAATATACGCCACGCCGAAGATCTTTTATATTCAACGTTGATTAGGTGGACTAGTCGTTGCAGCCCTAATTGAAGCTCCCAGCCTCTTTGGACAAGCCGCTCACTGGTAACCTGTGACAAGGTCAACTTGCTTTTAATGTCAACACGCTGTGGCTCCAAACACTTGTGTACATTTAAAATCACAAAGTTGGACCAATACTTGGTGGATAATCACAAAGGTCTCTTACTTGGGGGAATTCAATTCAGTCCTTGGTTCGTTGTCATTTTAAAAACAAAAACACATGAATTCAAACCTATTTGTGAGCTGCAAATATTAACTATTCTTAAGCTACTTTTTCTGGATGATAAATGAAACATGATTCTTGACTGGTCATGGATGTATCTTCATTATGCACAAGGCAGGACCCACAGGACCAGCACAAGTTACTGGCACGCTCCTCTGGACGTGAATTTCCTTCTTAGACACACTGGTGGAGACGTTACTACCTGGTGGCTCCATGTTGAGCTTCAGAACACGTTTTCACAACCACATTGAGTACAACAACTGTAGAAACTCAGTCAAACTCGTCTACTATACAGTGTGAATGTTTGATGCTATTATGGGAGCCTGCAGCCAAGCCACCGTTTAATGCCGTTTTGTGTCTCAACATGTCCAAGAAACATTTGCCACTATGCCTTTTGATTTGAGTGTGTGCTGCAGTGGAGCAGATTAAATCAACCACTTCAGGGCTTGAAATAAAAAAAGGTATAAAATGAATAAAGCATGGAAACACAAATAAGCTGAGCTTTGACCTATTTCCTACATGTGTTGAAGACCACTTTGGAACACAAACCAAAAGGAGTCATTGTTAGCTCTGGGTTAGAGAACACTGCTGTAGATTTGGCTCCGTGTCCGGAGAACACTTATCCTCTGTGGAACATGACTCCCTAACACTCCTCTTGTTTCCCTCCATCTCTCCTTCCCAACAGCTGCTGTCTTGCAGAGGAGCTTCTCACATTGTGTCCACGAAACGGTCGGGGATGCTAATTTATTGTCCCCCGTTCCTCTCATCCTCGTCCTCACCATGGCGTCCAAATTCCATTCCCTCTGGCTTGGGAAATGATAAGCGATTTGTAAATGTGGGAGGCGACATGTTGTAGAGTGAGCCGGAAAAATGCTGCAGCCGAGCATCCGGTCCATTAGACAACCTCAGCTCCCATTTCAACACCATAACAGAAATGCTACCTACTAGCACTGGTAGTGATGAAGGGTGGGGGGGGCATTGAGGTTTTGCTGCAAAAAAAAGTAAAGCTAAGCAATGTCAGACACACACACACTGCCATCTCCCTTTTCCAGCTACTTCCTTCCAATTCCTTCCTTTCCACTGAGACTCAGGTGGGCCGTCCACTTTCAAGCTGTCATGCTAGCATGAGGGCTCATCATCAGTCTCCCCCCAGCCAAACAGAACCACAACACACACACACACACACACACGTAGAGACACTATCCGTAGTTGCCTTACAAATGCATATATGCCGTCTGCACATCTTCTGCATTGTGCACAATATTAACTTACATGTGTGTGTCTGGGGAATACTATCCATGCTCAAACTCTCACACACACACACACACACACACACATACACACACACACACACGCTACAGAAGCAATGTATCCAAATGGCGAGAAATAGGTGGAAAGGGGGGCAGATGGGATGCAGGACAAAATAAGCACCAATCTCAGCCTTCCTCTTACCTTCCAGGAGGAAACAGCTCACCTGGGTGCCTCTGAAGATCAGACAGAACGCATTCAGGGCAACCTCTCTCCCTGCGAACCAGCTCTAAACACACCTCTCTCTCTCCCTCTATCTCTCTCCTCCGCTCCCTTTTGCAAGCTGGAAATGATGAGGTTGTACTATGAGCACGGGGGAATGAAATCTGAGGCGACGGAGGCTGCCTTTTTTCTGGCAGACAGCCTTGCCAGAGTGTGAGCGTGCGGTTGTGAGGGACAAATGAGGGTGAGTGGGGGTGTCGAGAAGGAGTGGGATCCAGCAGCTGGGATAGAAGAGGTCCGTTCACAAGGACATCCTGAAAGACTAGAGGACCCCTACTCGACAGAGATGGTACAGCCCAGAGGAGTTTAAGGAAGCAGTGTGTGCAGCCGCTAGCAGCTAGCCTCGGAGGCCAAAGGGGGGCAGGCTGGTGTGGGAGTATGAGCTGCGTTCTGTGAATGTGAAACCTGGGTGTCTCACAAGCCTAAAGCGTAATTATTGCCAGAAGATACAACTGCATCAATACAAATGGGTTCAGCAGATTGGTGATGACCTACGAGGAACTTTGAGAAAATATATTATACCTGAAACTCTGATTTACAACAAAACATTCAATTAAATTCATTTTATTTTGTATCCCAGAATCTCAAATTACAATTTCTCCTCACAGGTCTGTACACATACGACATCCTCTGTCCCGAAACCCTCACATCGGCACATGTGTTTGCTTCAATTACAGTAGAAAATACTATAGGTACCACAAAACTCGAGCCCTCCTAAATGGTACATGGTACCAATAGAACCCCTCCATTCTCGGTACCAGGTCGGTCCAGGTTCCAAGCCAGCTGAGGCAATACTAGAAGACGTGTTAAACCACTGATTGGTCAGAGTGAATCATCAATATCAAAACATCAGACACATATATGAACCCAAATGTATGTTGAAATAACCACCTGTCATGCAGCAATGTACACACAACACTACTCTGTACACCAGGTTAATATTCTAGATGACGGAACAGCAGTTTCAGTGGTTTGTCTCCATACGGCCGGCTCCTATGATTCTACGGTAGCCTTGAACGGACAAAACAAACACTGGTCATTCCAATACGTCACCATATTTCTCCATCCCACTTTGCACATTGGAGAACCTTCAGAACCTTCAGTTGGTTGCAATCTGCAACCTCACCACAAGATATGTTCAAATCCTACACAATTTAATTCAACCCTGTTCATCTTATTTTGTATAGCCCAACATCACAAATTATCCTCAGAGGGCTTTACAGTCTGTACGCATGCGAACATGCAGTATTTTTGGATTGAATATAGTTTGGACTCAGTTCTTATTCCTAATTAGCTCTGTATTATTATTCTTGGATCAATAAAGAAGCTTAGTACTTCACAGATATATTTTAACACGTCATGTCAAAGTGTCCCTGAGAAAGACACCGAACCCCTAATTGCTCCCCGGGCCAAATGTAAAAAACATGGATTAAAAATGCAATGTGAGTCGCTTTGGATAAAAGCGTCAGCTGAATGACCTGTAATGTAATGTAATATAATATAATGTAACAGACTGACAGACAAATGTACCCGGTCAATGGAGGTTCTCACTTTTTAAGCATTGCAATTAATAAACACACCCCGAAACGTCTTAAAATTAAATATCAGCGTATCACTTTACTCCAAGACAATGTATTGAAGTAAAACAGGATAATAATGTATGATAGTGTATAATAATAGTAATAGTACATATAATAGTGTAGGATTCTTAACTTTGTGTTACACAATGCAACATTAGACGCAATAACGTTGCCTTCACACACTTCATTGTGACATTCATACCCAGGAATAACGTAACTAAGCCGGCAAACCAACCTTTAAAACAACAAACGTTGCCGGTCTGGTTTGACGGTTCGTAGAAACCAAAGAACCTGAGGGTCGATAAACACCCGGTGGTACCTTTCCTCTGAGACGACGCCGTGCAGCAGACACGGTGCATATTCACGGAGCAGCCGGTCCTCCGGTGTTATCCAAAGCGGCTCGCATCATTACCGGTTGCTCAGAGCGCCATCTGGTGGTCCTCCCTCGGCTCACCGTTGCCAACAGACGGAGCCAGGGCGGTTAGCTGGGTTAGCTAGCAGCAAGCTAACGGTGCTACTTTAGCCAACCGCTGAATTAACAGTGAAGTCACGTTGAGTCACAGCGTGTCAAAGTTCACTGCTACTCCTCACACAGGTAGTGACCCAAATAATCTTGCTGATAATTCATACATCATTGAAATATTACCCTTTCCGTAACACTTTGAACAAAACCCGTTAACCAGCTATTCCCTCTCGCGCTCGCCCGCGCGCTCTCTCCTCGCGCGCGCCCCCGTCCGCCCAGTCATGTGACCACAAACACTACTGACAGAACACGTCACATCGACGCTTCTATCAGACGGGAAACATAAAAACACCAACAACCGTACATTCTATCACACAAATTAAATATGTAGTTTAACCTTAACTTTTATTTTTTTTATTTTACCTTTATTTAACCAGCTAAAAGTCCCATTGAGATCCAGATCTCATTTTCAACCAGTCGGAAAACATTAAAAGATACAAGTTCAGACAATTTCAGTTCAGCCTGGAGATTGTTCCAGGTTGATGGGGCGGCAAAACTGAACGCTTTTTCCCCCAATTCTGTCCGCACTCGTGGAATGTACAAGCAGTAAATATCACTGGACCTCAAAGCGTACCGGTTTTCTGCTCCATGGAAGAGTCAACTAGATGGAGACGGAACCATACCGAGGAGAGCCTTATAGATCAAGGACAACCAGTGAGTTTCTCTCCGAGAGCCCAGAGATGGCCACCCAGACGTCATATAAAGCTGACAGTGATGTGTGAGTGAAGATATACAGTGTCCAGAGCTGCTAGGCCTTTGGACAAAGCACATATGCACAGCACATCTCCATAGTCAACTAAAGGTAAAAAAGTTGACGACACAAGCAGTTTACGCGCTCTCAAAGAGAAACACAAGCGATTTCTGTGAAAGAAGCCAAGCCTTAGTCTTAGTTATTTTACCAGGTTTTCAATATGTAATTTAAAAGAGGGTTCCCTATCTAAAAGAACACCTAAGTATTTATAATTGGTGACAATCTCGATTGGGTTACCTTGGGCAGTTTTTACAGAAGATACATTTTCATTTGAGTAAGGAGCTTTTGACAACACAATGATTTTTGATTTGTTGGTATTTAAAACCAATTTGAGATTTTGTAGGTGGTCCTGTACAGCGTTAAAAGCAGATTGTAACAACTGAAATGCAAGCACCAGTGAGGACGCACAACAATAAATAACACTGTCGTCAGCATAAAAAAGTGATAAGAAGCATTTGACACATTTACACAAAGATCAAAGAAAATAAAATAGGTCCCAGGACCGAACCCTGAGGGCGGCGGTGACTGTACTGTGTTGCTTCCTAAAGCCAGATTGGAAATTATTTAAGATACTATTAGTATCTAAGAAAAATTTTAATTGTTCGCTAATTCTTTTTTTAATTAACTGTTTAGTTTATTTATTTATTTATGAGTCAAACTATTTATTAACACTGAATGTATACATGTTTTTTACATGGGCTACACTGTATTATACTTTTTGGTTGCGGATTTCATATTTTCAGATTCAAATCTTATATTTTGGGTGGTGTGGTGGTCAGCACCGTCTCCTCACAGCAGGAAGGTCCTGGGTTCCACTCCGCCCAGTGGCCTTTCTGTGTGCAGTCTGCATGTTCTCCCCGTGTCTGCGTGGTTCTCTCCGGGTTCTCCGGCTTCCTCCCACAGTCCAAAGACATGCTCTGGGGATCAGGTTAATTGACTCTAAATTGCCCGTAGGTGTGTGAGTGTGAATGGTTGTGTGTCTCTGTGTAGCCCTGTGATTGGCTGGTGACCAGTCCAGGATGAACCCGTCTATCGCCTGAAGTTGGCTGGACAGACTCCAGCCCCCTGCGAACAGGTGTGCAGGATAAACGGTTTGACAATGGACGGGGGCGTCTCAGGGTTTTTGTGCAAACAGCATTACATTAAATAGAAAGTAAGGACGGGTGTAAATTGAACCCTTGTTTAATTTAATCAAGTTTAAAAGTCTGTTGCAACAGAATTTAAAGTTAAACCATCATTCACTTAAGTTTGAGCATGAATCCATGTCGGTGTAACCCAACTAAAATGGTGTAACCCCAAGTACTACACTGTAACCAAGTACTACATTGTAACACACACACACACACACACGCACACACAGGAGAAGAAGCTGCCGTCCAAATCATGTTACATGACAAAACACTAATCATTGGATGCAGGGCCCTTTTCCTTTGTTCACCCTTTGCTGCTTCTTTCCCTCCGCCATGGTTGACCTTGACTGACAGTCAGGTTGCCAGAGGAACCACATGTCTGTTCCATGGTAGTGAGGCAGCAATGTGTGAAATTCACAGTAAGGCGGCTCGGATTGGATCTAAAGTGGAGTCAATTTATGAGCCACAGCAGACGCAAATCGGTTTAGACCGTAACAAAATGCAGTGGACATTATTAGCATTTTAAAAGGATTTAACACCGTAAACATCTACAACCCAACACACACACTGTCTCTCTTTTGCTCACCACATTATTGTTTGTTGCTGATTCAGATATTGGTCTGGTAATTGCATAGTAGCTTGCAGTAGTTGCAAAATTAATTTTGTTTTCTGTGATTATTTTGTCCATTTGTAATGTGATAATACATGGCGGTGCTCGAATTCAAATCTTCACTCTTAATGTGGAATAGTCTGACTATTGACACATGGGCTGAAAACAAATGATGATTTGTAGTTTCTTATCGGCCGGCGGCGTTTCACGCAGGTGGTTTCGTGTTATCAGATCCATGCTTAGTGTGTTGTGCGGTTTGGGGTGTCCTGCAGCAGCATTTTGAAAGATCTGCATTCTTGGATGACAGCAGAGGTCATCCAGGAAGGAGCCCTGGCTTCTCTGAATCAATGCTGATGGTGGGTGTTGCTTCTCACACAGCGACTCTTAAGTCGTGCATCGTGAGGGGTGTTGCTACATGGCAGCAAGTCAGCGATGTAGACTACGAGAGTACAAAAGAGCTTTGCTGGTTGTATCAGATACTGGTTACATCTGATGGTGGTTGTCCCTACAGTGGTGAATATCAATTCTAAGACTTAAGTTAATATTTATTTTGTGAATATTGTGATTCCATATTGATGTCAATGATTTAGTTTCAGA